ACATAAACTGCAAAAGTGGCATGGCATAGCACCCAGGATAAAAAGTCCAGCCTGAGAGCAGTTTTCTATGATTCATTATGACAGCTCAAGCCTGTCTCCACCTTTGCACTTTGAATCTGGGGGAAATGATCATCTCTCAACGTCTCTGCTTAGGATCAGAGATACATTCTTTTAAACTATCAGTTGCGGGAGGTGGTATGGTTCTTTTTTTCGGCTGTGTGGTAAGGGAATGAAAACTACCTATTCACGTACAATGAATACATTCTGGGATGGGCACTCAAAGCCTGACTTCGCATTATACAATGTAACATGTAACGAAAACCATTTGTACCCCCTTATATTTTGAAATTTTAAAAAAGTATCAGTTTTAGGCAAAATAAAAATCTTAACAGAAATATAAATTAATGTTTTTATATGCACGTTCATAGTTACAGGCTTATGTGGACTATTGTCATTTGTGTTTTAAAATGCAGATATGGTGCCGGGCGCTGGTGCTCACGCCTGTAATCAGCTCTTGGGAGCCGAGGCGGGCGGACTTGCTCAAGGTCAGAGTTCAAAACCAAGCCTGAGCAAGAGCGAGACCCGTCTCTACTATAAATAGAAAGAAATTATGAATGATAGTTATATATAAAAATTAGCCGGGCATGTGGACATGCCTGTAGTCCCAGTACTCGGGAGGTGGAGGCAGAAGGATCACTCAAGCCCAGAGTTTGAGGTTGCTGTGAGCTGTAGGCTGACGCCACGGCACTCACTCTAGCGCTGGACAACAAAGCGAGACCTGTCTCAAAATAAAATAAAATAAAAATTAAAATAAAATGCAGATATGGATATATTACACTTATATTTACTAATATAGGACAGCCTGGATATACATATACTTTTTTGGAAGCTATAACTAGGAGTAGAACCGTCCTGGGTCAGATGTGGCTGAGACCCCAAGTCAGCAGACGGAGGCCCATTGGTCTGTCACAATTAGAAGACGTGGCTTGTTGACCGCTGAAAGAAACTATTCTCCAGGCCAAACGGCCAAGACCCGATGCCTTGGCTCCCATTGCAAGTAACCAGCTCATTGGTCAGGCCCTGCAAAGACGGTCTAGGATTCAAAGTCTCACACTGAGCCAAAGATTGTTTGTTATCCAAAACGGTCAGAAATATCAAAGAGATCTCTTATAGAAAGCATGCGTTTGCTTTGACTGAAAAAGCATGGTTGTTGGCATGGAAGTCACGTACCAAAAATAGCTGGGAAGAGTAGCTGGCATGAGAAAATAGCTGTGGACGTTGCCATTATGATATATAATTGACAAGCAACTTTTCCAGTGCTGCAGTCTGAAACATCTCTCTGTCTCTGTGTCCTTTTTTCTTCCAGGACTGAGCCAATTCTGTTCTGTCTGTCTGCATCTTATGTATATTTCTGTGTATGCCTCGTTCTGTAATCGCCATGACAACATAGACTTTATTATTTTTTCATGGAAGGACTACAGATATGAGAAGGAAGACTGTCACTGCCTAATATACCCTTTGTTTTGACTTTTACTTGCAGGCTTTATTTATATTTTTTAATTAACAAGATTACTTTAGGTGAATATTAATATTAATGGAATTTTAATTTCTTATAGGTTTTAAACACTCAATATTATCTCAATCTCCTATTAATTAAGGTAATTTTATTATTTTCTGTACCTAACTGGGAGGGATTTGGTGAACCAGTTTCCCAACTAGCATCCCCAATAGAGAGTGAACACTTGCGTTTACCAGCAGGGGGTGCCAGTTGCAAATCTAGGTTTTACCCAGACCACACTCCATAACTCTTGGCCTGAAGTGCCAACCCTGTGGGGGAACCACAGGATAGAAATGTGTGGTCATCCTGTTGCCTTACTGTTTTTTTTTTTTTGTTTTTTGTTTTTATTTAGACTTTGGAGTAATAGCTTTTATGTTTTGAGCAGTCAAAACACCTACATCACTCTTAATAAATGCTTTATTCCAAACTTGGCCTTGAATTAAAAATTGCTTTTAAAGGAAAATGTTTTCTCCACATTTAATAATCAAAGAATATTGGATGGTCATGTTCAAATAACCCTAGTTATTTGCTCTTTTTTGGCAAATATAATGGTTTGTTAAACATTACAAGTATCCTGTTTTCATAAAGACAATTTGGTGATCCAATTCTGAATTCTGAACAAAGGCCAGCAGTGGGGACATTATAAAGCCATTCATTTGCCCACACACATTTGTAAGGTAAAAAGAGAATGATCCCTTCTTCTCTCTCTCTCCTCCTGAACCAGATAGCAAGGCATGGCTGTGTTTGAAACGTTGAAAGTGTTTGCTTACAAGATGTCATTTAGTCTAAAACTGTGTCAGCTTCTCACCTCCTCAGTTTATAAAGTTATGAGTGTTTGGTCGTAATCTCCAGGCTTTAATTGCCAAAGCAGAATCAGTGTAATCTCACAGAGCAGCGGACAGGTGTGGGGTTTCTCTTTTCAGTTCCTGTTATTATAAACAAAAGTTGGGATATCCCTGGCATTACTAATCCATACACAGTCAAATTGGAGGCCTTTTGCTTTCCTTTAGTAATACCGTAACTCAGCAAATTTACTGGGAAGTATTTGAGATGTTAAAAGCTAACAACCCTATCATTATCCTGTGCCTAATGAAAGAAGTCAGACATCAGAGCCAGGCTTTAATAACTTGCAAAGGGGGAAGAAAGTCCAATCCATATATTAATCTAAGTTACCCTTTCAGTTTAATAATGTGCCACTGACATTGACATAAACATGCCACTCCCATCCACTACTAGAGACAGATCTGCAGACCTCACCGTTTCCAGAAAGAGTTCTGAGAAACCAATTAGGGATACTAATTTTGTTTGGGGATCTGCCTCATTTTTTTGTTATAGAGTATAGATATTTCTCAAATTTCTTCTAAATAAAGTAACTGCAGCAAAACCTCATTCATACTATCATATAAATTTATGAAAAAAACACATGTTGTATTGAATTGATTTATATGACCCTGATTTCAAACACTTAAAATTATTCAGTGACCCGAGGCATTCCTTGGCAGGTGTACTCATGTAGAGTGGCTTTGGGTTGGGGAGGGACTTGGGCCCCAGCACCTCATGAGGAAGTCATGAGGCCCAAAGGTTGACTTTTTCAACCATTACCACACCCCTAGGAGGTCAGTGGGAGAAAAAACTGATAGTTGATTTCAACTGATCCATTATTTAATGGATCAGTACAGATCAGCTTCAAGTTTTCTGGTATTAGTTTGTAAAAAAACTTTCTATTGAGTGGATGAGCACAGCACTTCTGAATTTTCCTTACTGGACTCCATTGGAGATAATAGGTTATAAAGAATGTTCCAGTAATACTTGCCATATTAGTAAATATTGATTAGTGGTGTAGAGAAAGCAACTGTGCCTAAGTATATTAGCACTTAGCTGATCATGAAATATAATTTCTGATAGATAATTCACTGAAATGGAATATTAGATAAAGAGTGTTTTTCATCAAATATTTACAGAATGCCAAACTTATATACTAGGCCCTGTGGAGAAAATGGAGAAGTATAAGCTACCTTTCCTGCCCTAAATGAGCTTACAATCGTTCTCACTTCTGCCATTTATTCAGCAATTGGAAAGTATTCAAATATATCCCAAATAACAA